GAGGAGTAGACACAGTTGATCCAATTCTGACTGATTGAGTTCTTCCGGTCAAGTAACTCTCAAACCATTTTACAACGCTTGGAGAAGCCCCGACGTTGCTAAGTTTTGTAAGGAGAAAAGTATGATTTACACTGTCGAAAGCTTTAGATAGATCTATTAGAATCAGTGCAGTAACCCATTTCCCATCCATGGCCTTTAGGATAGTATCTCCGGTCAAAAGATTCAATGTTTCGCATGAGTGATGTTTCTTGTTCCCGCTCTGGTGGGTTGACAATTTTTTGTTCTTCATTAGATACGAACCAAATTGATTCAAGGCGACTTTTTCACAAATTTTCGAAAGAAAGGTAAGGAGAGAAAGTGGGCGGTTATTTGATGCTTCCTCGTGGTTTCTATCCTTTAACAAAGGGATAACTTCTGCCTCTTTCCATGCTATAGGGAACGAAGATGACGACAGTGAGCAATTAATGATATCGGTGAGGGACCCAAGAATTACCGGTAGGCTGTGTTTGATGACACGCATACTCACTTTGTCTTTGCCGGGTGATTTGTTTGACGGCATAGCTAATATGATGTTCCTTATTTCTGAACAAGAGACTGGGGTGAAACTAAATCTATCATTTTCTTCAGGGTAGCTGTTTTCTGTGCGATTTACGTCAGAAAGATTCCGAGCTGGATAAACACTAGGATCTTGTATTAGTGTTGAGGCTTTCTTTGCTGCATTCACACCGATGGTGGAAAAGAAATTATTAAACTCTTCGGCCACTAATTTCGGTTCCTTACTGTAGACCACTGACTCTCTTTCCCTATACGCTATATTTTCTTTAATTACCTTCCAAAGTGACCCAGTATTGTTTCAGTCTGTGTTGCTGAACTTCCTTCAGTACATATTCTTTCTGTGCAGTAACAAGTGCGGTTTTTGTAAAATTGCGGGCCTCTCTGAAATTAAGAGGGGAGATCCCGAAAGGCATCCGTTGCCATTTAAATCGTCCAAATGGAGTGTTGAACGTCGTTAAAAGAGACGACTCTTCGTCTAATTCTACTTGCCAATATCCGTTGCTACAGTCGACTTTGGTAAAGACTTTTGCATTGGACAGTTCTGGAAGTACGTCGTCAATTGTCGGTATTGGATGGTGGCATCGTTTCAGCGCTTTATTGAGTGGTCTGGGATCGAGGCATAATCTAATTTTGCCATTGGGTTTTGGTGCAACAACAATTGCGCTGACCCAGTCTGTTGGATAGTCTACTCGTTCTATGACCTCAAGCTTGACAAGTTCGTCCAAATGTTCTCGCAACGGTTGCTTCAGCGACTCTGGGATTTTTCTTGGTGGGAGTTGGACAGGCGACATTTCAGGATCAACTTCAAGATGCAGTGCTGGACCTAAGGTGCCAAGATCTTCAAAAACATCTTGGTATATGTCTTTGACGTTTTGCATTGTCAGTCCCATTTGATCAGGCCGAGTCAGGTCTTCATTAATTTGATCGACATGAATTGGGCTCCCAATTTGAATCAAATTCATTTGTTGCACGGTGCGGCAGCCAAGAAGGTTACTTTTTGCATTCTGGTCATCAACAACAGTGAATGGTACTTTGAACTTTTGCTTTGTAATTGGGTCTTGTACTTGTATTTTGCACTTTCCAAAGGGTGTGAGAGATGAGTTGTTGTACATCTTTAGAACATGTGCCGTAGGTTTGATGCGCCGTTCGTATTTAGTGCCTTTTAATTCACTCTTTTTTAGGACATTGCAGGTTGCCCCTGTATCGATTTGAAATTTGGTTGTGTTCCCCCCTTTTATTTTCATGGTAGCAAAAATCCGTGATTTGTAAATGTTCGGTTGGTGTATTGTATTGATGGTATCATTCTCGGTGGGGTCTAGTTCGACAGTCATAAGCGAGTCGCCTGAATCACTTGAGTCGTTTTCAGTTACTGCGTGAAGTGGCTTTTGGCGGGAATATCTTCCTTTCTGCATACAAACTTTGGCGAAGTGATTTTCGCGACCACAATTTCGGCAGCGGCTTCCAAATGATGGACATAATTCCTTTTTTCGTTGGTGCACTGTTCCACAATATTTGCATTTAATTTTGTTGTCACGCCCCCCGTCACGCCTATCAAGTCCGATACGCCTGTCATCGCGTCTTCCGGTTCCTGTGCTTCCGGTTTCGGTTTTGTTGTTTACAATGGCGTTGATTTCGCCCTCATTTGCTTCGCTGTTTGCCTGGATTTTCTTGACTTGTTTCTTCGTGGTCTCGCTACTGCGACAGATGTCGATGGCTTTTGTCAAGGTGAGTTTTCGATCTTGCAATAACTTTTTTTGAGTTGCATTATCGTTGATTCCTATGACCAGGCGATCGCGTATCAAAGAATCTCGTAAACAATTACAAAAATTACAAGATTGTGCCAATGTTCGCAGTGCTGTTACGTATTGGTCGACTGTTTCGTTTTCATTCTTTTGTCTGCTGTTGAAAACGAATCTCTCATAGGTTTCGTTTGTTTCACCTAAGCATAACTCTTTAAATTTTTACTAAATTTGGTTACAACGATGTCAAATTTCGTGCGGTCTTCTTCCGAGGCAAAATCTAAGCCCTCAAAAATTTCCATTGCGTCCTCGCCGATGCACGAAAGGAACGTTGCTGTTTTGAATTCATCTTCAAATCGGTTAAATCTTGCCACTATAGCATAGTTATCCCAAGATCGCTTGAATTTCTTCCAGTTTGAGGCAAGGTTTCCTTCAGTTTTTAATGGCTTAGGCATGGCCAAGCCCGCTGGCAATAATGGTTGACATGCCGAGGCTGTGTTCGGCGTGTTTTCTGCTTCGCTACCGTTCGCTTCTTCTATCATTTTCAATAATGTGAGCTGGCTTAATAGTGAATAGTGAATAGCTGCTGACACCATGTTATTTGCTTCTCACTTTCATTAACTTTTGATAGTTTTATTTCTTATAGTATAATTCGCATAATATAAACTCCTAACATGTATATACTCTATCTCTAAAATCCCGTGTCCTACAACTATTTTGCGCCCTTTTTGTTCGTTCCCAGTTTTCCCTGTCCGAGCAAATATAACTAAAATATTAATGTCAACAGTAAATGTCCAACACAGAGTGCAGTATCTATTTAAATAATGCAAATCATTAAAAACTTGCATAGCATAACCTGTTGCTATGGCTATAGCTTCACCACTGACATTATTATAATTATTATACAAACAAAAGCACGAAATTATAAGCATTGATTAAGGTATTCATATAAAACCACCCATGGCAAGGAAGTACTGTAGAATTAGAATATTTAGGGCCTGTTTATATGATCCAGGCGGGACGGGATGCCTACCGAGATCCCGCTCGTAATACAAATTCTAAAGAGTGTTTTGAATATGATCCCGCCACTTATTCTGCCTATACAGGATCTCGGCAACAGATGCCGGGATCCCGCATAAGCGAGATAAAAATTCCCATATAAACACTTCATCCTGGCTAGGCGGGATGAATTTTCCCCTTTTGAGCATGCGTAAATGCTTTTATTGCAACAAAAATATGACGTCAAGCACTTAAATGGCTTCATCCCGGCAATGAATTTTGTCCATAAAAACAGTAGACGAGTATCCCGTCTACGTGGGATGAAAACGTCCCATCCCATCTAGGCGGGGTCATATAAACAGGCCCTTAGATGACCTTTGTGCAAAGTGTTTGATATTCAAATTGCACTTTTCCTGCCTCCTAAACAGGCTGGCCTTAGGGGCTGTTTACATATTGAATAAGTGACTATAGGCTAGAAAAAGTAAATTGTACTGTATTTAAAGCTAATTCTCAATGGCAAGAGCAGTCGCGAGACAGTGACCATGTGTACGGGAAGCCTGTGTTAAAGGATGCATTGAATAAAGTCAGGTATGTTTGCTTGAGTAATTGTTTAAATGATGAGATGTTGGAAAAGCCATGCACAGGAGCTGTTTTGGAAGTAGTGTTCAACAAATGCTGGTTAACAGAACTGTAGAGAAGATCTTGTAGTTCAAGCATATTATTATTCCTGCTTGAACAACTATAATTTTACAGTTAAAGGGAAATGGCAATATATTTTTTTATTTTCTCGTTTTAAAGAACATTTAAAATCGTATAGAAAACTCCTTTACAGTTTTTTCATATCTTGCTTACTTCCACAAATATTTTAATCGAAAGAAATTAAATGTCCGCCATCTTGGATTTTTGTAGATATGCATGTTACGTCACAACAGGGGTCACGCAATATTTTTATCTAGACAACCACTAGTCATTTTGCACTCAAAATTATACTCTGTCTGCCCTTGGAAATATCAAGATCACTTGAAACCTTTAAAACATCTACCAATCAATATTTGGTCAGCAACGAATACTTTTATATGGTTAATCCCTGTTGTGACGTCACCAAAACTACAGTTAATGAGATAAAAAAATATATCCAAGATGGCTGACATGTCATTAATTAAGTGAAAATATTTCAAGAACTAAGCAAGATATGAAGAATCGGTAAAAGAAGTTATTAAATAGTTTCAAAAGTTCTTTCAAATGAGAAAATAAAAAAATATATTGCCATTTCCCTTTAACAATTATTCGCTGAAGGCGAGGTGATTATCGAAGAATATTCGCCGAGACGAAGTCGAGGTGAATATTCCTGATATAATCACCGAGCCTGAGGCGAATAATTGTTTTTGGTTTTTTTTGTATTTTTACACAAGCTTTTGTGTTTTTTGAGACTGAATTTATTTTATTTTCGCTTATTTCTTTGTCAGTAAACTTCCACAAAACGGGTAGCCGCCATTTTGAAAATTTCCGTGTTGTTATATTCACCTGTAGGTGAATATCCAATCAACGTGTAGGATTTGTTATGTTCACTTGTGCAAAAATACTAAATATATATATTCACTTAACCATGCACTAACCTAATTTTTGGGCAGATCTCACAAATGCAATGTTAAGTGTGTTTTTCATAGTTCGAATTTTATCAATAATCAGATACTTGCTTACCGCCAACCCTCTCTTTCCCCGGTCGCGTTTAAGCGCCAGACGTACAGCTTTCTTCCAGGCCGCGAGCTTTGGATTTAGTGGACAAGTTCGAGTCAACGTTGTGGACAACTTTGAGTCCCAACCAATCCTCCGTGTTTTAGGCCAGCCTTTGCTTAGAAGTACCAACTGTAAAAGCGCCAGTGCCACCAGTATTCCCTTCATGATTGCTCTAATGCAGAAATGTGATCAAGTCCAGCAAATGCTCTCTTTTTATGCCATGCTCTAAGAGTGGAAAACAGGAAATTGGATTGAAACAGGAACTACTCGAAGATAATTGCTTGCGTGGGATAGGAACACCCTCTGCTCATGTGAGAGTTACTGACGCTCTTAGAACCGCTGCATAATGGACCCTTCCAAGGTTAACGACTCCTTAATGAAACACAGTCAGTGCAAGAGGTGCAAACACAATGGAATTCCCTATAGGTAAATTTGCAAGGGGTGCAAACAAAATGGTGAAAGCAATATATTCAAGATGGCGTCCTTAAACTTAGAAGGGCGTATTATGGAAAATAGAAACGAAAATAACTTTTTAAAAGACTTATTTGTACTGTACACACCCACTTTTCAGTTGCATTATCATCCACCCACGTACCTCAGAGGAATTTGTGCAGGGAAGATAGTGACTTAAAACTAAACTAAACTAAACTAATTAGAGGAAGGATGACACTTGCTTAACATCCTAGTTACAATATGTACGAACCGAGTAAGGGCCATAAGAGGTCCTCCTAAAGGCTATCCCTTTTAAATTAATTAAGTTCATTTCACTGCCAAAAATGTTCACTTCGAATTTGAGGAACACAATGCACCTTGCATATATAGTGACTCAAGATATTGGGTAAAATTCTTAATTATCAGCAAATTAGTTACTCATTTTTTTATGAAAATAAATCTTTACTCAAAACAGTGAAACGCATGGTCAAACGTCCCTCTTGTCACGCGCCAAACCTAATGTATTTCGATACGACACTAGAGCGACGTTGGAGTGGTGTCAAATCAAACGTCGAACAAACTGTGGTATCTAAAAAAAACGCTATGGAAATTCAACAGACTGCCGTGCATCCGATCAACTTAGCTAAACAATTCAATTTTTACATAGAACGAGCTAGAGAACAGTTATTTAGCTTTTCAATGATACACGTTTTTAAAATCGTAACGTCGGTGGCCACATACTGGTCAAATAAAAATTGCCGGTCGAAATCACATTCTTCAACCGTTGAGAATTGAAAATAGATAGCTTAAGATCGTCGACGTCAGCCAGGACGTCAGGGCTAAGCAGAGGACTGGGACTAGGACGTCGTCCTAAATAAGTCGATAGCTCAAGTATCTACGACGTCAAATACTTAGGACGGCAAGCGGAAGTAAATTTGTAATAGTTTTTGAAGTGTGCATTTGTCTCTCTCAATTTACTCGTCGTCCACCAAACGTCGACAACCTGATCACAACAAGAATTTTACCGTCGTAAATACAAGAGCATAACAAACGGTAATGGATTCACACGTCTCTTTTAAATTCATTTTCAAAAGTACGTAAATATTTAGTTTAAATGTCGACGTCGTGAATCTTAACTGAGTGGAAGTTTATTTAATTATTTATTTAGGACGACGTCCTAGTCCCAGTCCTCTGCTTATCCCTGACATCCTAGCTGACGTCGACGTCGTAGACCTTAAGCTATCTATTAATTATAGCGCAAGTCTGCTGCAAGCTATTTGTTTCGTAAACGTTTGATTACGAATGTTCTCTGTTCAGTGGTTAATTGAACCATATTTAATGGACGTTCTTATTAGTCGACATATTTAGATCGAGGACGCGGACGTCAAAGACGACGTGATTGAATGGTGTTTTGTGCCCATGTATGGATACGCCACGTCATTTTGACGCCATTTTCACGTCGTCTTTGACGTCCGCGTCGGCTCGATCTAAATATGTCTGTTAGACATCAATTCGGTCTGAACTAAGACGAAGATTGACGAGTTGAGCATTTTAGATAATTTAACATTCAATTTTAATTCCCTCTTGGGAAATGTCTATGTTTCGTTATGGAAAAATGTGATTTCGACCGACAACTTTTATTTGCCGAGTATGTGGCCATTCTCATCGTTACGATTTAAAAAGAGTGTCATTGCATGAAAAGCTAAATAACTGTTCGGCTGATCTTATGTCCTATATGTAAAAATTAAATTGTAGGCTACGTTTATAGCCACGTTTATGATGCACAACAGCCTGTTGAATTTCCATAGCGTTATTTTAGACACCCTGTATAAAATACATGAAAATAAATTACATATAACATTATAATATAGCATTTGTGAATTCTGAACGCTGATTGGTTAAGAGCCGTGTTGATGATAACTCATTGTCAACACGGAAACGTCGGAAAATTTCTTTCTTTGTATTTCTTTGTGCTATATTATAAAACAAATATAAATTAAACATCTTTTCCGTATTGATATATATAGATATATATATATATATATATATATATATATATATATATATATATATATATATATATATATATATATATATATATATATATATATATATATATATATATATATATATATATATATATATATACAGTTTGTGCATTAGGTTCGCCGCATGAGAAGAGCGACATTTGAGTTGCTGTCTCTTCAGAGTCGCATAGTGCCACAAGACATCGCTCCAAATGCCTCCGTCGCGCAGCCGATCGAATCTGTTGACCATTCTGTCGAATTTAATCTAGACGTCAAACGTTAATATATGTTCTACACAAAATATTACATGTTTTATACAATAAATGTTCGATGTTTTGCTAACATTCTGGGTTCGACCGGTTGTCTGAAAGCTGATTAGCTTTATAATCCTAGAGGTTTACCTAAAATTCAAAGCAAACTTCCCAACAGCTTGTTTATAAATTTGAAAATATTTCGAGTGCAAAGTTCTGAAATAAACAGACGTGTAGAAATATACATAAACTAAGACAGCAAGTGAAATTTTACTGATTAGCTCTATATAACCATTAACTGGCATGTAAAACTTTGAACAACCGGTAGACGACGCCCTTTTGCTTGAAACGTCGGTAGGTTTTTTAATTCTTTCAGGTAGTCCATGCAGGAACTACGAAAACTATATATCGGTTATGACCATAATGTCTATACATGATTCCAATGCTCACAAAAACAACACAATTAAACCGGTAGACATCCTTTGCCCCATGCATGCATGCAGAAGTTTCTCGTTTAAAAAAACACTCTTTAATTAACTTTCAAGTGCCTGTTTTGCATATCAAATTGCTTGTATTCTTTACCAGATAGTGTCAGCAAATACAGAACTGATTTCCCGACCGGAATGGCCTTTGCTCGAAACGTCGAATTTCGGCTTCTTGCATTTTTCAGGCACCATTTTTCCCTACCAACGAAAGTTTTGTTACAGAACTAAAAGGCCTGTTTCATTATGTTCTTTAAACTAATTATAAATGGTTGCATGCAGCCAAAACTTCATACGTATTATGTTAAGTATGTATTCGTCGGTGAATACCTCTGTTAAATTACGTGAAGGAATTACTCCTTTTTTCAAATCTTATGTGGGAGTAAAACAAGGATGTAATCTTAGCCCGACACTCTTCAATTTATTTATAAATGATATATCGAACATGTCCGATAGTTCATGTGCCCCAGTTAACATCGGAGATACAGATTTGAGCTGTTTACTTTATGCAGACGATCTGGTTATATTTTCTGAATCAAAATTAGGATTACAAAATTGTCTTATAAAATTGCAATCATATACGAAAAGGTGGAAGTTAACCATTAATTTGAAAAAATCCAAAATCTTATTATTTGGAACCGCAACCCAAAGACGTACATACTTAACATCAAATTGGTTATTTGAAAACAATATTCTAGAACAAGTCGACGAATATCAATATCTTGGCATAAATATTCATTATACTGGAAATTTTAAACAAGCCCAAAAAATCTTATATAATAAAGCATTACGAGCCTACCATGGTGTATTTAAAAGTTTCTCAAATATTAAAAATATCCCGTGAAAGCACTTCTGAAACTGTTTTCAGCAGTTATATCTCCTGTTTTACTCTACAATTGTGAAATTTGGGGTCCATACTTACTGGGTAAAGTGAAATGTTTCGATAAGTTTAAGAATAAAATTTTTAAAATTTTCAATGACATCGAAAAACTCCATTTAAAATTTTGCAAACGAATTTTGGGGGTACACCCAAAATCGACAAATTTAGCTGTCTATGCTGAATTAGGGAGAACACCTCTTATTTTGCACATATCTACTATGGTAGCAAAATTTTGGTTACCGGATAAACAACCCATCATTTAAGGATACTCTGGTTGGTGAAGCAGGAAAAATCTGTATGGATCTAAACTTGCATGCAACCAACTTTCTTTACTAAATATTTGCTGGAACTATGCAATATAATAGTGAATAGCCTTAAAAATTTCATTATACCTCAAAAAGAACTGGAAAACTTTTGCCATTGTTTGAAAAATATTTTAAAAGAGCGCTTTGTTGATTACTGGAAAGACAATATTCAACAAAGCGGAAATCAAGGCAAACTAAGGACATTCAAAACATTAAAAAAAAATTTCGAATTTGAAAAATATATTGCTGAAATTGGCAATATTAAGCATCGCCAAGCTATTACAAAGCTCAGAATTTCGGCTCATAGATTACCTGTTGAAACAGGTCGATATTGCAATGGTCCATATGATGAAAGAATATGTCAGCATTGCAATTTAAATGAGGTAGGAAACGAACAACATTATTTAATGCAGTGCAATAATGCAAAATTTATTAATATCAGGGAAGTTTTTATATATAAGCTTAACCAGATAAACCACTCGTTTAGTTATTTTAATAATCATGACTTATTTATATATATTCTTGCAATGAAAGACAAATCCATCAATAATTTGGTAGCTAAATATTGCTTTGATGTACTGACTAACGTTGAACATGCAACTTTAAAATAATTCAGTATTTTATATATCCTGTTCAGTTATAGTATACTAGTTAACGATTTTGTGATCTAATATTTTTTATACAATGTTATGTATTCATTATGTACCAGTATTGGTATTTTGTTATGAATAAAGTTATTATAATTATTATTATTATTATTATACGTCGAATTTAATTCAGTCGAATTTAGTTATATTATTATATATATTATATTCGTCGGTTTGCATGAGTTTAAAATGATTTCGTTCCAAACGAGGAACTATCAAACTCAGTAGACGAATTCATTTTATGATTAGCGATAATGGATTACACGGAAACAGAAACCATGTCCATGGGATCAGAAACAAACGGTACCGTCGACACAACGATACGAGTCGTATGAAATGAAGACGCGCTACAGACAGACTTCGCCCGGCTTCGGTAAAACTTTAGGCCTGTTTCATACGTCGCACGTACTGATGTCGTCGAATTTAATTCAGACGAATTTAATTGAACGAATTATAATACGTATAGATGTGACGGTATCGGTGTGTCGTACATGAAACGAATAAAATTCGTCGGGTGAATTAAATTGATAAATTCCTCCAAGACGTTTTAACAATCTATTCAAAGAAAACTCTTTTTATCAGATATTTGGCATAGTGTATAATGTTATATTGCACACGTTTTTCGAAATAGCATTTTCTTTGTTTTACCACGAGTTGCTAGTATTTTTTCTGCTTAATGTTTTCCTGTAGCGCGGTAGCTTTCTTAGACATCCTTTTCGCTAGAAGCAAAGGAAGTATAGTAAGTAAAACCGGAGCTTAACATAACTTTGGAGTTCCTGTTTTGTCTTTAATTAGAAATATAATTAATTAAACCTATTAATATATGCTGAGTAGCTCTTTCAGGTCCTTGACCTTGCATTGAGACTATTCCTCCGATAGGTCCAGTAAGCGCCTGGAACATCTTTGGTTTGTGCGCGCTATATAAATGACTCATTATTATTATTATTATTATTATTATTATTATAAGAATCATCTCTTTTCGTTTCTAGAGCAAACTTGAGCTTATCACTAATAATTCGTTCCTTTTCTGGTAAAGATCAGACGAGAAATTGCTAGACTTGCTACAAGTCGACTCGCATTGTAGCGAGCGAAATGAGTGAGCGAATAAAACGAATGAGCGAGCTTGAGTTCATGGACGAGGGTCAGCGAGGGAGCTACTAATGCGTCGATTGTCGAGCTTGCAGGGAATTGCATCTTCTTGCCCTTGGCGCAAAATATTACATGACCGTACTAATTCAAAACTCAAAAATGTTTAACATTTCCTCACAATCTTTCCTCACACTGCTCTGATGCGCATACAACGCTTATCAATATAAGCATGCACGGAGAGGTCATCGATAATGTATAGCCAATACTTAAAATAAAACCTACCGACTCGACAACCGCCCTATCGCTAAAATCCGGCGCATGTTAAGAGATCATTAGATCAACCTCATGATGAGCTAAATAATACGAGTCGACTTGAAGCAAGTCTAGAAATTGGCATGCAAAGATGATCACATGATGAAGACCTATGCAGAAGTCGATCAAATGAATTTGTTTTAAGCAAATATGACAAGGAAGACATTAAGCGAGGAAGACTTTAAGCGAAAATTCTCTTCATGAAAAATCAATTTAGTACAAATTTGAAAAAAAGTTCCAAAATTTCCACGACTTTTTGGCACCAAACATTGTGTACATACTACAACTGTTACAATTACTCTTCGCCAATCAAAATCCTTATATACCTAAATATTTTTTGTTGTTGCAGCTAGGACTGGATAAAACAACCTTTTGAATTCAGGGAATCAATTTCGAAGTGAGATCGAATATTTATAGTGAGGAGAGATTTCATTATTAATTGACTCACGGATGTTGCGAAGCAATGCAACAGTGTGGGGTGAGTGTGGGGGCAGTTAAACAATGGGAAATGACCAGCCTGCTTTGCGCGCACTGTTTGCCTGCGAATCGGGCCTTTCAGAACGGAAATCGGGCTGGAGCACGCGTTCGTTCTTTTGATTTGGCAAATGAAGCACGACATATGGATGAAATGGCAAAATTCGCACGGTACCCGGTTTGCAAAAGCAACTGCAAACTGCTCTAATTCTTTCTGTCACTTTTATTTGATCTCATCCGTGAGTCGTATGAATCAAATCGTTACGTGTTCATTAGTTATACTATCAAGCTTTTCACGTCACTTGAAATATATAGCTTCAAGCAGCTCTTCTATAAGTTTTTGATCGTTTTAAACACGAGATAATGAGACTTGAGGTGGCCATATTTGTGTGACTCGAATCAGTAAATTCATATAATTGAAACGCTACATCCAACTGGAAATTTTAAGCCAAACTTATAAAAGGCCAGTCCCAGTCTTTTCACGCATGCGAAGAGTGCGGTAATCCGTCAACAGGAATACATGTATTCTTGAAAATCGGGGTAAAATTTACAAAAAAGCTTTTTAACAGCGCCTTGAACGCCCGTATTCTAAAAGCTCACACTCAATGAGTGGAAGTTCAATGCCGGAGCTTCCCCCGAGTGTCTTTGCTGTTTTTGAATAGCTGGAGGGCTAGTGTCAGGGCCTATCAGAGAAATTCGGGGGCCCGGGGCAAATTTTTATTTCGGGGGTCCCTATTTCCGGACATTAAAAAGGGTTAAAACTTGGGTAAAACCCATTTTTTCCCCGCCAATATCTGTAAAATTAAGGTCTAGAAATTTTTTCTCATACTATTATTTATATAAAATAAGTTCCAAATAATCTTTTTTAAATTACACCTTTAGTGCCCCCCTCCCTTTTGAAAATTTTGGGTGCCCCTGAAACTGGGGGCCCGGGGAAAATTCCCCCCTTTGCACCCCCCCCCTCCCCCTCTAAAAGGCCCTGGCTGGTGTCATACCTTACTATGTGACTACTCACCCTCCAGCTATTCAAAAACAGCATTGACACTCAAGAGAAGCTCAGATTGAATCTCCACTCATTGAGTGTGAGTGTGAGTGAGCTTTTAGAATACGGCCGTAAGGCTTTCTATGAATGGATATTTTCAGGTAAACTAGCTTCCTAGTAGACTTTTCGTTTTTGTTATTTTTTTCTAATGATGATAGGTTTTCTTATTATTTAGATAAAACACCATGTTAAATATTAAATTTATTTTGAATTTTCTTCACTTTGCCAAAGAAGCAGCGTAACGCAGCGGTATATAAATTCAAAGAAAGGTAAAAAACACTTTAATTGTTTGATAAAAATACTTTAGAGGTGATTGTATACTGATTATTTAACAATTATTCGCCGAAGGCGAGGTGATTATCGGTGACGAAGTAGAGGTTTTTATTCACGATAATCACCGAGCCTGAGGTAAATAATTGTTTTAGTATAATTTCATAGGTGATTATTTGGAAAAAAATTTAAAAATGCACATTTATTCGTCTTTTAATTGACAAAACGGCTTCGGCCGCCATTTTGAAAATCGCTTAGGTGATTATCGCGTAATAATCACCTCAACGGTAACCAATCAGCGTGGAGAATTTTCAATAATCACCTATGTAATTATACTAATTATTAATATTTAAAACAAACATTTTCAGATTTAATCCGCCACTAATCGTATAAAGTCTATAAACACAGTCAGAACTGATTACTACATGCTCCCACCACAACCAAAGTACGTGGGTTACAAAATGTCACCCTGAATATAAAGAAAATTGGTTATATAATAATACTGTATATAAATGATCACAATAAGAATTGTATGTTAATTTTCCTGGCATTGGTATTCCCTAAAAAACGAGAAAATATATATTGGAAACGTACACAAGGTAGCAGATTACATGATTATCTAATTATTTCACACGTTGGTCAAATTTAGCAAAAGTTCTCCCACTCCTGCGGGCTCGTATTGTCAGCGGACATCTTACAGAAAGTGGACAGTTTTTCTGTTGTTCTGTGCAAAATAGTGCAAAATGCAAAAGTTTCAATTTTTCAGCACAAGTCCGCTGAAAATGCGAACCTGCGGTACTGGGAGAAAATTTGCTGAATATGACCAGTGTGTCACTCTAGTTAACTGTCACCACAAACACTATGCCTGGATCACAAGATGAAATAAGCATAAGTACAAGCAGCGGAAGCTTTGATGTGCATAAACGTAAGCATAAGAAGAACGTAACATTTGTTCTTATGTTTATGCTTATGCACATCAAAGGTTCCGCTTGCTTATGCTTATACTTATTTCATCGTGTGAACCAGGCTTATCTGTATGGATTTAATCTCAAACACATTTATAACTCCTGACTAAATTAACCAGCCATATTACTTTATTTTGCTCACATGATAATACTGGATACCTAATGAAGTATATTGATCCAGTCCTAAACTGGATCGAAATCAAATCACCTCACTTCAGGCCGAAATACCCGGTATATGTTTGGTCAGATACCAATATACCCAAATTTGGAAGAGATCCAGATACTAAATACCTAAAAATTCGAAACTATTGAAATACTAAATATCTAAAATTTACTTTTTTTGCAATTGCAGTAAGTAACATTGAAGTAAATTAAAAGTGACAGCCAGACAAAAGTGGCTAATCATGGCCAGCTAGGTGGCTTATGTAATTGCATTTGCAGCACTACTGTGCTTCCACATTTCCACTATTCTTGGAAAATTGCCTGGAGAATATCAGATTTTAGAGATTTCCCTTTATATTTCCTTCAAATTTAATGAAATATAAACTTTTCTTGAAAATAATGGAAAGATTTAAACGCTTTACAATAAGCAGAATCAGCGTAATACTGCGCAATGCATCGCAGTGGAGTAGCCAGACCTTCATTTTTTTGAGAGGGGGGGGGGGCAAGCGAACGCTGAATGCGTGAGGACGTCTAGGGATCCGGGTGCATTCACCGGGAAAATTTTGAAATCTAGAGAAATCTATCCCTGAAATGCGGCATTTTTGAGGTTTTTTCAAGCATCTTGCAGAATTCCGAAGGTTATAAAGCACATCGAAGACATGAATTTTCCCAGACAATTTCTCCTCGGAATTAAATATATTGGAAAAGTCACCTTGAAAACAGGAGAAGGGGTCAGTGTCACCTTATTTACCCTCTGTGATGCTGGGGGGAGAAAATCTCAATGTGATTTTGATCAGAAATATATGTTGCATTTAAATTCTAGGTTCTATGAGACACCATTTCTGCATTCTTGAAATTGCGTTGCTTTTTGATACGACACAGATTGAATAAGTATGAGAAGAAATATTCGTGTAATGCATGTAATGTATTTAACAGTTAAAAATGTAAACTAAATCCATTCTTCTTGGAACATATCATGATATCTACACGGACTGCTCTAACGAGATTTTACAAATCGAATTCCTCCAGTATATTGTCGTTTTCCTCAGTCGAGACGTACTTAGTCTGTTTCAGCTTTATGCATATTATGTGTACACCCTCCCCCAATTTCTCTACGGATTTAACCTTTTCGAGAGAATGGTTTTTGTGGCGATTGGACGGGCGGTCGCACCCCCCTGGCTACGCCACTGATGCAGCTGGCATATCGGGTGATCAGGGCTAAAAAATTCCAAATTTGAAAACAATTTGACCGGATCTGATACTAAATACTCAAAATTAAAGTCTCGACAAGATACCAAATACCCGTGTAATCAACTGTCCCGATACCATATACCTAAAAAAAGCCCAAGATACCCGTCTCCCAAAACCCCTGGCCGGCCCTATCACTTTAAGTAGTGATTTATTCGTATGAGATGTCATTTCAAATCCTCCAATTCGGACTGGACCAGATTTCAAGTCCTCGCATTTTGACCATAGATATCTTATATACACTAGATAGCGCATCTCTTTTAGTAAAATTGAAGCCAAGAATATTCCAGCGGTTACCCCCATTTGAATAGATGGCGGCCATGTTGGTCGTTCCCACTTGCTAATAAACGCTTAAAAACAACAACAACTTTCATCATTTGAATAATTTGAAAATGTATTTGGAATAGGTTTAACTTAATGTTTAAGTTCCCTGTTTAAGAAATGGAAAACAAATCAAAACATACGAGTCTTCCCATTTCATGGGAACGACTTGAGACTGCAATCACGGCTTCAATTCTTGAATTGCATAATAATTAGATGCACTATCTAGTGTATATAAGATATCTATGATTTTGACATAGTCCTCGGCTTCGCCTCGGACTTGATCAAATTGCGCGGACTTGAAAGTCGGATTTGAAAAATTACTTCAGTATAGCAAACTCCTAACTCTACAATGAGTGAGAGCTGTAACATCAGTAAAATATCGTCAAAGCCTAATTTCTATCTCAACTGTTTAATGTAACACTAAACACTAAACACTAAAACGAAGCGTAGATTTTTTGTTTTGTGAACACCCTTATATTGCCCCAATATTCAGAGATAGGTATAAATAGAACCTCTACAGGCGTTAGGTAAAATCCTGTATCAAGTAAGCTATCTCTAAATTACAAGACATCGCTAATGACAACCTGACACAAGAGTAAAAGGAACGGTACGTAACGGTGTTGAAGTGGAAAACATGCTTCACAGAGTTTAAAGTGCATACGAAAGAATTTTTATTTTCGTCTCTGAAAATCTTCAATGTAATGTATCATTCAACTCGTCTCATAAGGAAAATTATTTTAAAGTGCACTTTAACATGGTAATTTTCTACGAAAGTGCACACCCAAATGACCCAATCATTTGTCCATCTCGACAGATCGAAACATGCATGCAGGGACGAGCAATATGTCTATGGGTTTTGTTTTTTGTTTTTTGGTTAGTTTTTTTTGTTGTTTTTTTTCTTTTTTTTGGGGGGGGGGGAATTCTGCATGAAGTTTTGTCCACCTTCCTTTCTCCCCCCCCAAAAAAAATGGGGATAGCTTTCCTGCCGATATAAAAGGTTCAAAAAAATTTTCCTCCAAACCCTTTTCCATAAAAGGGGGTTAAAATTACGTTTTTCAGAATTATTTCGACCTCAATTTTTCACAATATTCCTTATATTTAACACGTACCGCAACTCCAGTATTTGGGGGCCACCTCCGGGGAAATTGGCCCCCTTCCGTGACTTTTCTTTTGGGGTGTTACACCCCCACAAACCCCGAGTCGGCACGGCACTGAATACAAACGCGTTATACGTGCAGACTATAACAATTCGTTAATTAATAATTCCCATAAATTAGCCATCGTATAACTTACGGTGCACTGAAGGAAAGTCCAACATTAACACATCTTCTCATAGTTCCTGTGTACTTTCCTCCACTACGGCAGCAGTTGGCGTTATTGCCTTCACATCCAAATTCACCCAATTGAATACATCCGCGTTTCACTACATTTTCGTGCTGCAAAAATGCGTCGGAAAAAACCTTGATATTTGACTGATAAGTTGAAGCCAAGTTGAAGACGATTACGTTGGATCAATAACTTAAATGGACCGTTGGAAAACATGTTTAAGGTGGTTCCCTACAGTTTACTAGAAAATGGAAGATCTACGATTTAGGCGCAATTTTTCAACAATTCCTATATGTTTAGAAGAAAAAGAAAGTTCAATAACTACAGATTTAGATTTTTTCGAAAAAAATGAATCGCAACTCCCGTTGCTATAGCAACACTGACGCTTTAACATAGCCGATATTTTGGATTTAAAGTTATTTAACTTGAAAATAAGGTCGGTTACCCCATTTTTTATTTCATAAAAATAATTCGTTTAGTATTGAATCATTGTATTTTGAATCATTGCCTGTCGTGCGAAAAAAAATCGTTACGATGATTACTGATTTAGTGATTTTCCGAACTTGAAAAATTTTGGCATGGTTTTTAAAATTAATCTCGAAAATGATTCAACATACTGAAAGAAATCACGGTATAAAATAAAAAATTGGGGTCACTGACCTTATTTTCGAATTAAATTGCTTTTAACCAAAAATATCCGCCAATTGAAACGTTGTCATAGGAACGGCTGTTAGGAGTAAATTTTTAAAACTCCGAACTCCTTAGTTATTGTTTTATTCAAGTCAGATACCATTTGTTTTTTAACAAATAGTTATTGTCCAGAAATTCGTATCCAAATCAGAAAATCTTCCATTTCTTAAAAAGTGTAGGTAGCCACCTTAAGCGGTATTATAATGTTTTTATTGCGCTAAATTAAACGTGCAGGACATTAACTTCCATTAACGAAAAGACTCTTAAGATTAAGACTCTTATAAGTTTGAACCGCTGTTGCCGTTAGTTTAATTAGTTTCCTAACTGGTATAACACCCAGGTATACTGGGTGAAAACAAATGTTCAGTTATCCGAGATCACACCCAGGCATGCTTCGCCGGCTGGTGTATGACCACCATATTCGATCAATATGGTTCCCAGGAGAAAATTTCCCTGCAATATAATCCCCTTTAGGAACCCCCCTCCATTGTTATCGGGTACATGTCGAAAGCATAGGCGTACGGGGCGGGAGGGGAGGGGGCAGAATGAAGTTGGCCAAATTATAAACGTAAGTCGAGGGCAAAAATTGGGGGAAATAACTTCAATTTAAAAAGAAGACATGTGCAATATAGTATTTGAAAATGCCAGAAATATGTAAAAGTAACGTGGAATTTGGACAAATAGGAAAGCGTTTTTCGTCGACCTCCCCCCTCCGTCGACAACAATTTTTGGAAAGTTTACACGGAAAATGTTTCTCAGTAAGCCGGGCACAATGGGGGAAAAGTCTTCCTGCCTCCCCCTGATATTGTCCCTCCCGTACGTCGAAACCCTTCTGAGAATATAAGAACCCCTTATAAGAAACCCTTCTGTAATATAAAATTAACCGAGGCTAGTATAGGTAGGCCATGAGGAAGGAACACAGATATACACCATGGAGAAAGTTCATACAATATGAATATTAATCATTTATAGAAGCAATAAAAAAGGCGAAGATCAAGTATTTCACCGATCTGGAAATTATTCCTGTTTTTAAAAATTAAAGCCCTGTGCCAAAATGCACCAGCTAGGTCACTGTAAATAGTTGACACAGTCCTATAGCTCAATCACTTAGGAACGTCTACATTTAGGAATGTATTATAGCTTAGAATTAAGAGGAACTACATAGCTAGAGTTATCAATGCTCCTAGTGATAGAGCAAGTCCGGTCAGTGGTGCATGCATGACTAAATACTAAGTCTAAGGCCGTGTTTACACTATAACGCTGCGGAAAATGTATCGTAGCTACAGCGGCAAGCCATTCCGTTATAATGGGTGTATACAAAAATTGCACAGTTCGAAAATGTTCGCTAAGCTTCAAATTCGGCAAAATTTGTGAAAACGTTATGCAGAATATTTAATAGGGACTGATGGGAATTTCGCATTGAATGGGCATGCATATTTCTCAAGCCTCGATCCCATGCAAATCCCTACTATACATGTTCTAATTTTTGAAACTATAGCGCAAGTGCCACCATCACAATTCCGCCTGCAAATTTTCTGTACTTACTAACTTTGAAATTATCTTTTTAAATCTTATACCTTCTCTTTCATCAAATCTTATACCTTCTCTTTCATCAAATCTTATACCTTCTCTTTTCCGATTATCAAATCTTATGTGATAAAGGTCAATTCATGCAGAATCTAATAATAGATTGTCAGCCCAAAACCACTGTTGGCTCGATACTACACAATATGTCGATATAGGTCCCACTTGACAGTGAAGGATTTCTCAAAGGATGTTATTTATTTTAATATGTACAAATATCTACTGTTTCTGTATTATGCTATATAAGCTGAAAAATAACGTAGCAGGGAACTCTCGCAACAGTGCAAGCGAATTATTGTGCCCCCTTTAATTTAGATAACAGCTATATATAAAGATATTACAAATTCAAAAATAGTATTATATATATGCAAGAACCCCAAAAAATATTACAACTTCTACACAAATGATGATAATATTAGCAGGCGCCGTAGCTAAACCGATAATTGGGGGGGGGAGGGGGGGAGGGGGGGAGGGGGTGCATATTCATATATTCGTGTTCTGCCTGACTGATTTCTTTTGAAAGCAATTGTTTTTACGGTATGTGAACATGAATGTATGAATATACACCTCCCCAATTATAGCGTCTAGCTACGGCCCTGGATATTAGCAATTTTTAAGACCAGTCTAGCTAACAGTGAATTTTAAGGGAATGCTAGTCGTAGCGCGTTATATTGTAAGCGCGGCCTGGCCCTAAGGTGACAAGGAAACATGTTAGATCAAGGAAATATCATGCGTAATTAAATTTTTCTATACCAGGCTATTTGACAACTGTTCCTAACATATACAAGTTCATAACATATAATCAGTAATTACCTGATCACGCATTTGAAGGTACTTTATGTAGTCCCTGAGAAACGCCATCTTCTCTGCACGATCTTTCTCTTCATAGGCTGGATATTGCATCGACAGAACAAACATCCCTGCCAAAGCAAATATTGCCAATACATGTCTTGCCGCCATCATATCAATCCTAAATTAAGGAAGGGGCCATTAGAATTAGAAGTAATTGGGATAATCACATCAAAAATTCAGTAAATTCTTGCAATTCTTTCCCTCTTTGAGGAAAGAGCCTGGGAACGAGGTTGGAAACATTATTGTTTTGTGAATATTATTTATCTTCTAGGATATACTATAATCCTTATAGATATACTTCATTCAGCCACAGTTATTTTAATAGATGGTCTGGAGACTCGATGAAATTACAATATAACTCATTAACTATGTTATTCTCCAGCTTTATAAAAGAATTTGGTCCTACTCGTCACGTGTGTATTGTATTTTCGCTCAAATAACCAATAACATGTTTGTGGTTGAGTTATCCATCCGTAACTTGCTCAATGCTCAATCTAAACATTGCTATTGGTTGTGCGGGAAAAAAATACAATACACACGTGACGAGATAGGCCCAAATTCTTGCATAAACCGAATCCAACATAGTTAATGAGTTATATTGTACTTTCATCGAGTCTCCAAACCATGTATTCTATAACTGTGATTCAGCTAATTCGGTATAGTGGCCTATTTATTTATCACTCTTTAGCATGTGCCTGGTAAAAATAACAAATTCTTTGACCTTGCGCTTGTTTCTCGCCAGCGCGAAGAATTTCGATGTCTCGAGAAGGGGAACGCCTTTCGTTTTTCATGCACAATCTCGGTACATATAGCCGATTAAAACGCATCAACGGGAACCTTAATATTTGTTCGCTGTAATACTGTATTGAAGACATTGGAATTAGGATTGTGTCTTTGAAAGAGATTGTCCATACATGTGTAGATGAAATAAACTTTGAGTGAGTACATATCATAATAGCCTCACAACATGCACTGCCAAGCATGCAAGGAGAATTGAGGCCTAGTAAACGCACCTCAGTTCTACGACTACATTACAAACAGTTTGATCTGAACTAAGATTGTTCATTTCATATAAGAATGAAACATTATGACTTACGTTCTAGTCGTTCCTAGTTCTGGAGTCGTGAGAACCGCTCTTGTTGTCTTCTTGGGAGTACTGACGAAATATGAAAGAAAAGCATAACTTAATAAGCCTGATTTCCATGTGACATCGATAAGTCGGCGAATTCCATAATCTCATTGTCAGTGATTACTCATTAGTAAAACTATTCTAACAGCCTTTGTGTATCTGAAATCATTTTCTCGGTCAATGATTACCAACAATGAGCTGGCGCCTGGTCACCGGCGTCATAATTGAACGAGGCTTTGAGAGGTATATAATAGATCCATAGTTGGCTGAATTGTAGGTATGAACACAAACAAAGAACAAGAACGGCAGGAATACCTGTGTCTGACGCTTAATGAATTTCACGACAACTTATACTCAAACTAAAAGAGAAAAAGTTCCTTCGTCAGGAGAGTTGGTAGTTGAGTAAGCCAGAACTATTAAATCTCCTGAGGAAGGGTTCAAACCTCGAACAGTTTCTTTGACGGCACATGCATGGTCCATTTCTCACAAGGTATGGCGTGGTTAATTAACTATGGCATGTATGGGTTCATTGTTAAAGAAGATTCGTTGATAGTGTGCGTTTGGAGTGTATTACCATGCAAAAGCTTCCCATGAAACTACAGTATATGTATACATATAATTGATTATTAATTATTTATATGTACATAATGACATATACTCCTCATCGGGGTTTTTCAGTGACCGATTACATCAAGTATTATGCTTACTTATCAATTACTTCTGTCTTGGGGCCTGTTCATATGGGAAAAAGTTATCTCGATTAGCGAGAAAACATTTCGACTAGCCAAATAATTTTGTTCTGTCCATATGGAGAAACGTTATCCCCCTTACCAGGTAAAGTTTCCGACTGTGACGTAGCACTGGTGTGACGCGCAAGGCGGGAAAAGTTAAAAAACTTTAAAATACATTTTAAAAACAGAAAAGTTGCTGACACGACAGAACGTTTTCCCGCTAAGCAGGAAAGTTGTGGCTATATTGTGTTCAATGTTCATATGGGAAAAACATTATCCCAGTCACCGAGATCTCGCCTGTCAACAATGAACGCAGTCTAACTTTTAGTATTATTTTCGTAACAAGGCGAGCTCTCGCCTGTAAACTTGTCCCTATATGAACAGGCCCTTACTTGCCTAGACTATTTATCTTTACAACAATTGTATGTGTGTGATTACTTTCCTTACCCAACCTGCCGCCGCCGCCGCCGTCGTGACGTCGTCATCATCATCATCATCATCATCATCATCATCATCATTATTATTATTATTATTGAGCTCATCACTAATAATTCCTTTTCAGACGAGAAATTGCTAGATTTGCTACAAGTCGACTCCCATTTCAGCGAGTAAAACGAGTGAGCGAATAAAACGAATGGGGGAGCTTGAGTTCATGCACGAGGACAGCGAGGGAGCGACTAATGAGTCGACTGTCGAGCTTGCAGGGAATTGGATCTTCTTGCCCTTGGCGCAAAATATTACATGACCATACTAATTCAAAACTCAAAAATATTTAACATTTCCTGACAATCTTTCCTCACACCGTTTTGATTACGCATACAACGCTTATCAATATAAGCATTCACGGAGAAGTCATCGATAATGTATAGCCATTACTTAAATCATGGTTCGCTGTATAAAACCTACCGACTCAGTCGACAACCGCCCTTTCGCTAAAATCCGGCGCATGTTAAGAGATCATTAGATCAACCTCATGATGAGCTAAATAATACGAGTCGACTTGAAGCAAGTCTAGAAATTGGCATGCAAAGATGATCACATGATGAAGACCTATGCAGAAGTCGATCAAGTGAATTTGTTTACGCAAATATGACAAGGAAGACATTAAGCGAGGAAGACTTTAAGCGAAAATTCTCTTCATTAAAAATCAATATAATTTAGTACAAACTTGAAAAAAATTCCAAAATTTCCACGACTTTTTGGCACCAAATATTGTGTACATACTACAACTGTTACAATTACTCTTCGCCAATCAAAATTCTTATATACCTAAATATTTTTTGTTGTTGCAGCTAGGACTGCATAAAACAACCTTTTGAATTCAGGGAATCAATTTCGAAGTGAGATCGAATATTTATAGTGAGGAGAGATTTCATTATTGACTCACGGATGTTGCGAAGCAATGCAACAGTGTGTGGTGAGTGTGGGGGGCAGTTAAACAATGGGAAATGACCAGCCTGCTTTGCGCGCACTGTTTGTCTGCGAATCGGGCCTTTCAGAACCGGAAATCGGGCTGGAGTACGCGTTCGTTCTTTTGATTTGGCAAATGAAGCACGACAAATGGGTGAAATGCAAAAACAACTGCAAAGTGCTCTAATTCTTTCTGTCACTTTCATTTGATCTTATCCGTGAGTCGGCCTGCGATTCAAATCTGTCACATTCCGTACGAATCAAATCGTTACGTGTTCATTATAGTTATACTAGAGAGTTTTAGCTTGACGTTTACGGCAAACGTCAAACCGCTAACGAAGTTTTTTATTTTACAAGTCTATTATAACAGCTTTTACACCAGTTTTGAAATATAAACAATCATTAAACTTGTGCTCTTTAGCAAAGATTTAAAAGAAAGCAAATTAACTACTAGTCACGTATTCGCGAAAACAGTTAATTATGATTTGGCGTTTGAAGTTTACGTTTGGCGTATAAATTTCATGCCTTTAACGACTATACAAGCCCTCATAGCAGTTCAAGCATGACTAAATTTATACGCCAAACGTAAACTTCAAACGCCAAATCATAATTTACTGCTTTCGCGAATACGTGTCTAGTGGTTAATTTGCTTTCTTTTAAATCATTGCTAAAGGGCACAAGTTTAATATAATTGTTTATATTTCAAAACTGGTGTAAAAGCTGTTATAATAGACTTGTAAAATCAAAAACTTCGTTAGCGGTTTGACGTTTGCCGTAAACGTCAAGCTAAAACTCTCTACTATCCGCTTTTTCTACGTCACTTGAAATATATAGCTTCACGCAGCTCTTCTACAAGTTTTTGATCGTTTTAAAAACACGAGATATAATGAGACTTGAGGTGCCCATATTTGTGTGACTTGGATCAGTAAATTAATCACTGGAACGCTATACATCCAACCGGAAATTTGAAGCCCAACTTAAAAGCAAATCCCAATCTCCTTCACGCATGCGAAGAGCGCGGGCAACCATCAACATGAATATATGTATTCTTGAAAATCGGTGTAAAATTTACAAAAAGCTTTTTAAGGGCACCTAATGCATCTATCAATGTTAAGCCCTGGTGGGGGCAGGGGGCGGGCAAAGGGATGGGGGATTTGAACAACTTTGCTTGCCCGACGGGGAGGATTTTGATGTCGCAAGATCATCCTGGGGTGTGGACATTTAATCTTTCACAGCAGACCTTGACCGGGCAATTTTGAATATTTTTGAGATTGAACAAGTCCGTGTCACTGGCCTGTAACAACGTCGTATCCAGGGCTTCTGCACTTAGATTGTTGCACCAGCAATTTAATAGTCTGCTTTGTTGAAGCACAACACTTTGGTTGATCAGTTTGATCATGAATGCAGTATAACAAATTTTCCCAGCCCCCAAGTGGGGAAATATTACCGTTTTTTGACCCAATATTGATTTCCTCAAGTAGGGAATATTACCATTTTTTGACCGATGGTGGTGTCCCTGGGGTGTGGATTTTGACAATTTTTTTCAGGAAAATGTCAAATCCCCACCCCTTGCCCCCCTTCAGGTTTAACATTGATATGTGCATATAAGGCTTTCTATGAATGAATATGTTCAGGTAAAATTCCTAGTAGACTTTACTTTTCGTTTTTGTTATTTTTTCTAATGATGACAGGTTATCTTATTATTTAGATAAAACACCATGTTAAATATGAATTTATTTTGAATTTTCTTCATTTTGCAAGAGAAGCAGCGTAACCGGCAGCGGTATATAAATTCAAAGAAAGGTAAAAAAGTTGAACTTTAATTGTTTGATAAAAATACTTTAGAGGTGCATGATTGTATAATTATTTATTGATATTAAAACAAACGTTTTCAATTTAATCCGCTACTAGTCGTATAAAGTCTATAAACACAGTCAGAAATTATTACACGCTCCCACCACAACCAATGAACGTGGGTTACAAAATGTCACAAATATAAAGAAAATTGGTTATATAATAATACTGTATAATGAGCACAAAAATAATTGTATGTTAATTATCCTGGCATTGGTATTTCCTAAAAAACGAGAAAATATATATTGGAAATGTACACAAGATAGAAGATTTCTTGATGATCTAATTATTTCACTCTAGTTAATTGTCACCACAAACACTATCTGTATGGATTTACATCTCAAATCATTAATAATTCATGATTGAATTAACCAGCCATATTACTTTATTTTGCCCACATGATAATCCTAATGAAGTATCTTGATCCAGTCCTAAACTAGATTGAAATTAATTCACCTCACTTCAGGCCCGACAAGGGGGGTTTAAGGTAGCCTGCGTGGCAGGCCCTCGATTTTATGGGGGGCCTGATTTGCAGCGGGCAGGATTGACCGAGCGTGAGGTCTGTACTGTGAAATATCAGACCGAGATTTTTTAGTATGGACCGACAAAATCCTGCCCGCTGCAAATCAGGCCCCACATAAAATTGAGGGCCTGCCACGCAGGCTAGGTTTAAGGATACCCAAATACCCGGTATATTTTTAGTCATTTGCCAATATACCCAAATTTGGAAAAGATCCAGATACTATATACCTAAAATTTTGAAACTATTGAAATGTAAACCATACCGTGAAAATGAAATGTAAACCATACCGTGAAATACTGTATCAACTATCAAGTATAAGTTATCTCTAAATTACAACACACAGGGGCGCGGAACCGGGGGCGCAATGGAGACATGTGCCCCCCCCCCACACTTTTGTTAAAAGTGAAAAAAGTGCCCCTTTGTTCTGGGCTAAGTGTCCCATTTAAAGAACGAAAAAGTATTTCTTGAATGAATGCCCTCTTTTGCTGGAAAGAAAGTGCCTTTTTGCAGTAGTAAAGAGTGACTCTGCAAAGGCCATTTCCGACGTTATAGAGACTCCATATTTTTAAAAAATTTCGTTCGGCTCGAAAGAATTGTATACGAAAGAATTTTTATTTTCCTCTCTGAAAATTCTTGCTACATAATTATGTATCATTCAACTTGTCTCCTAAGACGAACATAAATTATTTTAAAATGCACTTTAACATGCTAGTATTTTCTACGAAAATGCACACCCAAATGATGCAATCATTTACCCAAATAATCCAATCATTTGTCCATCTCGACAGATCGAAACATGCATTCAGGGACGTGCCGACCGATATGTCTAGCCTATGTGTTCTTTTTTTTCGGGGTAAATTCAAAGGTTTTAGCCCTTTCCCAGGGGCTAAAAAAGGTTCAAAAAATTTTATCCAAACTTTTAAGTTTAGTTTAAGTTTAATACGAATATTTATACAGGATAATACAATTCAACTAAAAAAGCTGTTATCAATGTGTGTCCTAGCTGTTATCCTAAAAAGTCTAGAAAGAACTAACTATTAAAAACTCTAAAAAAGCTCTAAAAACTATATGTACATTAAGAACTAATTCTTATATACCATATTTAAAACCGTTTATAATTCATTAAAATGTTCCGTAACCTTATTCTCAAAATCCGGATTGTTCTCAATCTTTCTTAATTCTATAGGTAGGTCGTTATAAATCTTAGCTCCCATAAAATAGAAAGATTTACGAGCATACTCAGTTTTAATCGCTGGTAGCTTTATCATATTATTATTGTTTCTTGTTTCTCTGCCATGTTGCTGCATTGTGAAGTAAGTTTTAAAAATATCACAAATGTCATTATCAATGCATTTGCGCACCAGTTTGCATGCTCTTAATTTGTTGGCATTTACAACAGATATAAGATGTTGTTCACCCGCCTGTTCCCCTTTGAACACAGTGGACACAGAACGGTCGTGGCATTATAGAAGTCTGGCCAGCTGCGTTCGACCTAGGTTTAATTGCAGTACGCCACAATACGTAAGTATGGGCATGATCATCGTGCGATAAATGGCTTTGGCCGAAGGTAAATCGAGAAGATCTCTTATCTTAAACAAGAGCCTCAACCGCCCTGATGCTTTCTTGAGACTTTTTTCAAACTGAGAACTCAAACTCAGTGATCCGTCCACATGCACGCCAAGATATTTATAATCAGATGTATTCGTTATTGTAGTCCGCGTGGAGCATGGTACGGAGACCTCGAGTGGCTCAGTTTGCATGCTTCTTCGTTTGGCAGTTCCAAATAGAAGGGATTCCGTTTTGCCCTTCTTTAGGTTGATTATCAGTTCGTTTTCTTTCAACCAGCCAGCAATCGAATCCATGTCTTTATCTAATTTTGCTTGAATTGATTTTTTCATAAAATTACGTTTTTTAACCACAATTTTTATTGATGGACCTTAATATTTAACGGTTCTGCAACTCCAGCATTTGAGGACACCTCTGGGGAAATTGGGCCCCTTCCTCGAATTTTCTTTGGGGATGTTACACCACCTTCCCTCCAGTTGGCACGGCGCTGCATACATGCGCCGTTATACGCGCATACTATAATAATTCGTTTAATAATTCCCATAAAGAAGCCATCGTATAACTTACGATTCAGAGAACGATCCAACATTAACACATTTTCTCATACTTCCTGTGTACGGATTTCCAAAGCGGCAGCAGTTGCCGTTATTGCCTTCACATCCAAAGTCATTCAATTCAATACATCCACGTTTCACTAGATTTGCGTGCTGCAAATTAAAAGTGCGTCGGAAAAACTTGATATTACTGATAAGTTGAAGCCAAGTTGAAGACGATTACGTTGGATCAATAACTTAATTAAATGGACCGTTGCGAAACATGTTTAAGGTGGTTCCCTACAGTTTACTAGAAAATGGAAGATCTCCGATTTAGGCCCAAATTTTCAACAAGTCCTATATATTTAGAACACAAAGTCCGATAACTACAGAGCTGGGTTTTTTCGGAAAAAAGAAATCGCGACTCCCGTTGCTATGGCAACAATGACGCTTTAGTATGGCCGATATTTTGGATTTAAGTAGTATTTAAAACACGAGAAGGAGTGTTTTATCATATTTAAAACGCGAGGCGCAGCCGAGCGTTTTAGATATGATAAAACGCGAGTTCGAGTGTTTTGAATAGCTTAAAATACGACTACAAAAGAATACTAATTAGGATGAACAATTATATAATCATACTAATTAGGATGAAGAATTATATAAAGAATACCAATGAAGATGACTTTTATCAGATATAAAGTCACTCCACGTGACATATTATGGCTGACATGATTTGCCACAAGGTTTATGAATTTTTAATGAGTATTTTAAAGTTATTTAACTTGTAAATAAGGTCGGTTGCCCCCATTTTATATTTCATAAAAAGAATTCGTTTAGTATTTTGAATCATTGTATTTTGAATCATTGTTCTGTCGTGAATTGTTACGAATATTAGTACATTTTCCGAACTTGAAAAATTTTGGCATGACGGGGGGGGGGGAAGAATGAAGTCGGGCAATTTATAAAAGTAAGTCGGGCAAAAATTGGGGGAAATAACTTGAAAAAGAAGACATATGCAATATAGTATTTGAAAATACCAGAAATATGTAAAAATAACGTGAAATTTCGACAACTGAAATAGGAAAACGTTTTTCGGAAAGTTTACACGGAAAATTTTTTCAGTAAGCCGGGCACAATGGGGAGAAGTCTTTCTGCCTCCCCCTGATATTGTCCCTCCCGTACATCGAAACCCTTCTGAGAATATAAGAACCCCTTATAAGAAACCCTTCCGTAATAAAAAAATTAACCGAGGCTAGTATAGGTAGATCATGAGTAAGGAACACAGATATACACCTTTGAGAGAGTTCGTACAACATGAACATTATTCATTTATAGTAGCAATAAAAAAAGTGAAGATCAAGTATTTCACTGATCTGGAAATTTTTCCTGTTTTTAAAAATTATAAATCCCTGTGCCAAAATGCACTAGGTCACTGTAAATAGTTGACACAGTCCTATAGCTTAATCATTTAGGAACGTCTACATTTAGGAATGTATTATAGCTTAGGATTAAGAGGAGCTACATAGCTAGAGTTATCAATGCTCCTAGCGATAGAGCAAGTCCGGTCAGTGGCGCATGATTAATACTAAGGCCGTGTCAACCCAAAAAGACCCTGGGTACGAGGATGAGGCCGTGTTTACACTATAACGCTGCGGATAACTTATCATAGCTTATTGATTTGCATTCAGCCGGAATGCCATGTATACGCTACAGAGGCAAGCCATTCCGTTATAAAGGGTGTATAAAAAATTGCACAGTTCGAAAATGTTCACTAAACTGCAAATTCGGCTAAATTTGTGAAAACGTTATGTAGAATATTTAATAGGGAATGGAATTTCGCATTGAATTAGCAATTCCGAAGTTGATGAGTGGATTGGGGACGAGTGTTAAAAAGTGCCCAAATTAAGAAATGAACCAAATCACTAAAAAGACCACCTCAAAATTAGTAAGTATACAAAGTTTGAAGACGTTTACATGAATACACTTCGAATAATCTTTTGAAAATTTTGAAATTACCGATTCAAAGATTGTTTTGGGGACGCGCGTCCCCTAAAACAAAAATTACAGTACATTTCATAGTAAATATCGCGATTTACGAAAGCTTATTATGAGTAAACGTATGCTTTGACTCTTTGAGGGAAATTAGTGATCAGTAAATGATCCCGCAAACCGAGGGAGGTTTGCGGGGTCATTTAATCACTAATTTCCCTTAAAGCATGCGTTTAGTTTGTAATATCATAGTTGCCGAGGGAATCGCGCGTGGTGTGTTGCCTGTTTTGAATGCTGTTTGATTGTCTTATGATTGTGGTACGAACACTTTTCATATATACGCACGCGCAGAAACACATCTCCGTGTTCATTCTTTTTAGGCATGCGCATAAACGGAATTTTCTCCCACAATTGAAATGTTCAAGATTAGGGAATAAAAGCTGGCAAAGTGATTGTTCGAAATTCGAATGTGTACGGGAGGGTGTCGTCAGATACTGTCCGTAGTTGTGCCGATGATTTTCGATGAGGTACAGCTCTCCAATGAGCGTAACGAGGTACGCTTTGTCTTCTAAATTTTCCTCATCAAGCATGCAGGGGAAAATTTCCCCGTTTCCCGGGGAAATTTAGGAGACAAAAGCGTATACATGGGTAATGAGGGAAATACGTGATTAAACGTCCCTGCTGAAACAAAAGAAAGCGAGGCTATTCGAAGTGTATTCACGTAAACGTCTTCAAACTTTGTACACTTACTAATTTCGAGGTGATCTTTTTAGTGATCAACCTCGATCCCAGGCTCTTACCTTCGCACGAGAGCCTGGGAACGAGGTTGTTTAGTGATTTGGTTCATTTCTTAATTTGGGCACTTTTTAACATTCGCCCCCAGTCCTCTCATCAACTTCGGAATGGCTACATTTCTCAAGTCTCGATCCCATGCCAATCCCTATACATGTTCTAATTTTTGAAACTTTTGCGCAAGTGCCACCAACTAAGTACTATTTAAAACACGAGTAGGAGTGTTTTATCAGATATATTATGTCTGATAAAACACGACAACAGTTGAGAGAGTGTTTTGAATAGCTTAAAATACGACTGCAAAAGAATACTAATTAGGATGAACCATTATATAACCATACTAATGAGGATGAACAATTATATATTGCCACATGCTTTATCAGATATAAAGTCACTCCACGTGACATATTATGGCTGACATGATTTGCCATAAGGTTTATGAATTATAAATGAGTATTTTAACTTTCTTTAATTCTCTTTTCAAATGTTATACCTTCTCTTTTCCGATTATCAAATTTTATGTGATAAAGGTCAATTCATGCAAAATTCAATTTTAACAGATTGTCGGCCAAAAAACACTCGATAAGCTACGTACTGCTCAATATGTCGATATAAGCCCCTTTTGACACTGAAGGATTTCTCAAAGGATTTTATTTATTCTAATATGTACAAATATCTACTATATCTGTATTAGAATATAAGCTGAAAAATAACTCATATAATTTATAGCAGGGAACTCCCGCAGCAGTGCAAGCGAATTACTGTGCCTCCTTTAGAATAGATAACAGCTATATAAAAATATTACAAATTCAAAAATAGTATTATCCAAGAAAAAAGCCCCAAAAATTACAACTTCTGCATTAAGGGCGATCATCAAATGATGAGACTACATGTGAGCTTTACAAACAATGAATGTGAATATTAGCAATTTTTAAGACCAGTCCAACATGCAGTGAATTTTTAACAGGTAGCGTTATATCGTAAGCGCGTCCTGGCCCTAAATAAATCTGGTATTTCCAAGCACCCATGTATTTTTCGGTTTATTATATAAAGGACAGTCTTTGAAAAGCGATAATTTTTACAGAAAAGCGATAATTGAAAAGCAATAATTTTCACATGTGAGATTATCATAAATAATCTCACATGTGAGATTATCACTTTTATCAGTGCTCGAAATATATCTATAAAGCATTATACTTTATGTAATAAATAGAGAATAATACATGGGTGCGCAGAAATCAGTGGCGTGCTGGCAGGGGGGGGCCGGGGGGCCACGGCCCCCCCAGCTGGCAATTCTTGGTGGGCGCAAAAATGAAAATGGGGCGCCGAATTTTGAAAGTAGGTGGGAAAAAAAGCATTCTCAAAAAAATATGGTTACTTCTGCCAAGAAAAGACGTGTTTATAGGCTACAGTATAAAACAAACTAAGCGCATAGGCGACATTTATTAAATTACTGACTATTTTGCCTAACCGCATTTGCTACCTCACAGCTCACACGAAATATAGAAACATGATCAGTGATCACAGGCAATGTCTCATTACCAGAATATTGGTCAGGTTTCGATCGAAGCGATCACGGGAATTATGCCCTTTTTTGCTGATATTATGCCCTTATATTATGCCCTTTATTATGCTTCACGAATTACGAGAGCGGCGCAAATTAGATAGTTGAAGTTATGATAACTGATGTAAAGTTGTGTACGCAATTTAGTTGTTTGCACAAGAAGCATGAGTAATGTAAGTAATGGAATAATGCTGAAACATGCCTTTTTGGCAGCCAGGCAAGGAAAACTTAAAATGCATATGCGTGGGGTGCATGTGTTATTGTATAAAAGAGCTGTAAGTTGTAAATATGCTCAGAACAGTAGATCAGTAGAGAACAGAATTGGGATTAGATTAATCGCTGGAAGTAGTTAGCATTGCATAATTTAAGTACTACTACTAAATTCTAACCAAATTGTAAATTTCGACACGTTATAATGCCGTTTCCTGACCATCAGATTTCTGTCAAATCTTCCCCCAAAGTCCAGGAAATGGCATTTCAGAGACTCTAAATTCAAAAATTTTCCTGGAGGGCATGCCCCCGGACCCCCCTAGACAAACCTCGCACCTGCGGCACTCGGCTCGTGCCTTCGGCCCTCGTTTATCAAGTGTAACATTATAGGGGCGCATATTGGTTGACAGCCCACTGGCCCCTCCAGAAAAATAGTACCCAGCACGCCACTGGCGGAAATACCAGATTTATTTCGAGTGTTGAACATGATATCTCACGAGTGAGCGCAGCGAACGGGTGAGATATCATGTTCAACACGAGAAATAAATCTGGTATTTCCAAGCACCCATGTATTTTTGTGTTTAGGCTATTATATAAAGGACAGTCTTTGAAAAGCGATAATTGAAAAGCGATAATTTTCACATGCGAGATTATCACTTTTATCAGTGTTCGACTCTCTATAAAGCACTATACTTTATATAATAATAAGCAATTATACCTGATCACGCATGTGAAGGTACTTTATGTAGTGCCTGAGAAACGCCATCTTCTCTGCACGATCTTTCTCTTCATAGGCTGGATATTGCATCGACAGAACAAACATTCCTGCCAAAGCAAATATTGCCAGCACATGTCTTGCTGCCATCATATCAATCCTAAATTAATAAATTAAGTAACTGGATAATCACATGAAATTCAGTACAGATTCTTGGCAACGCTTGAAACGATATATAGAGCCATATAGTACTTAAACTAGACGTGATTGGCTAATTTGTGGTCACGTGGATTTAAATAAACGCAATGTCTCCCGCCGGCAATCGTTGTCCGCTCCAAGAGGCTGCTCCATTTGCTGTTCAGAGTACTACGGATTTTGTGAACAACAATGAAATGGAACAGAACACGATCACATGAGAGTGTTCGAAATTGTTCTGGCTGCCACAATTTCGAAATCAAAGTAGGGGCAGTTACAATCTTGGACATAACTGGTTGAGACTATTTTCCCCCTATAGAAAATTCGCGTATTTTTATGATAAACTCCATGTTGAATCATGTTGCCATTCTTAAATCCCCGCTCCCCCAACCCAATGTTGAGCTTGTATCATGGTATATTACCAAAAGTTGTTTCGGCGTTGTTCACAACATTGAACCGGGGGGGGGAGGGGGAGACAATGTTTGTTTTGTCAATGTTCAATAACTTTGTAATATTAGCTGGAATGGTCTCAGGGGTTTTGTCCTAGATTGTAGAACAGAACACGTGACACTGCCATTCTCACGTGATTGGAAATGAAGGCAACAGATTTTGTGTATCCAATGCATGTCAGTACTGTGGAGGTAAAATGGCCTGGGTACGAGGTTGCCAATGCATATATATATATATATCCACTTCTAAAAGCTCCAGCAAAAACACTTCTTTATACTTCTAGCTCGAGTAAACACTCAGCAAGCGTCTTGTTATATATGGCATATGCGTGCAACCATGCATTAGTATATCATTAGTTATTCGCATAATAAATAAGTATATGTCGATATATATATCGACGTACATATATATACTTATTATATGCTATTTTATTTATTTATGTATGTAATTCAGCGGAAAATTTTACATAATTTTTTGAAAAGTAATTGAATTGTAGAAAATGTTTTGATAAATTAAGGGAACAGTTATTAATAATGGGAGGGGTGGATTATAAACAACAAATATTGAATTTTTTTAGAGCCGCCCCCGATCGCAAGACCTTTATTTTCAAGACGACCCCACCTTCATCTAGAAAATTTAGGACTCCCCCCAACCCAACAGTTAATTCGTTACATGTTTTGGTGTAAAATAGGTAATGGGACAAGTACTGGTGTAAGACATTGTGTAGCCTAAATAATTAGTGGACCAGTATTCAAAATGGTTGTAATTTACTTAGAGTCCTATGGTGAACTGCATATACATATGGAAACTACGATTATAGGAACTAAAAAGGTAAAAAATTGGGGTTGACCCTTGTCACATATTTTTCAGTTTGAGACCGCCCCCAATTCAGGCAAAAAAATTGAAGCCGCCTCCCCCCTCCTTCCACTATTAATGACCGGTCTCTAACAAAAGTATTACTGAAAAAAATGTACAAATTTCGGTAAGTTAGTGAAAAATAGTGTGCCCCCCCGCTTGCCAACAATTTAGGTAAAAGAAATATTAATCAGGGACTGAAATGTCCGTCGGGCACGACTTCCGCCACGCCCTTTTGGTAGGGCAAAACAAGACATATGCAATATAGTATTTGAAAGTACCAGAAATAGGTAAATATAACGTGAAATTTCGACAAATAGGAAAACGTTTTTCGTCGACCTCCCCCCCCCCGTTGACAACAATTTTGGAAAGTATACACGGAATATTTTTTCAGTAAGCCGGGCACAATGGGGGAGAAGTCTTCTGCCTCTCCCTGATATTGTCTCTCCCGCACGCCGAAACCCTTCTGAGAATATATATATATATATATATATATATATATATATATATATATATATATATATATATATATATATATATATATATATATATATATATATATATATATATATATATATATATATATATATATATCGACATATACTGATTATATGCTATTTTGAACGCATGCAGGGTTGGGCAAAATCAACGAGTAAAAACGTTGCAAAATAACAGCAAATACAAATAACAGCAAATCGTTATGCGATTTATTATGCGAATAACTAATGATATAGTAATGCATGGTTGCACGCATATGCCATATATAACAAGACGCTTGCTGAGTGTTTACTCGAGCTAGAAGTAAAGATTAGTGTTTTTGTGGAGCTTTTAAAAGTGGAGAGTTTGTATTTGTAAAACATCGTATTCACATCGATATTTACTTCATAGATTTTACATCTTACTCGTTTAAAGTGCATTATAAATGATTTATGAATTAATTATCAGTTAATAAGCGAGCTACCTTGTGGCGTAGTGACCATATACTAAGTATGGTTTAGGTAAGCGCCCCTTCTACCGCCCGCACTAAACGCCTGCTACGCAGGCTATACTGTAATCCTTACAGCTATATACTTCATTCAGCCAGGCTCAATTCGGTACAGTGGCCTATTTATTTATCACTCTTTAGCATGTGGGTAAAAATAACAAATTGTTTTGCCTTGCGCTTGTTTCTCGCCGGCGCGAAGAATTTCGATGTTTCGAGAAGGGGAACGCCTTTCATTCTTCATGCACAATCTCGGTACTTATTTTTCACCCGGCTCGGTTTCCTTTGTTCTTATCGGGGAATATATTCAATATTCCCCTCTAATCAATTTCCGTTTAATAATCCCCTCTAATATTCACCTGCAATTAATAATCCCCTCTAATATTCACCTGCAATGTCTTTGCAGCACAAAAAATGAGAAAAAAAACAACATAACGAAGGCAATATGGCATTAAGAATTATTTCTATCCTGACTCATTAACGCGACCTCGCAGTGTGAAAAATAAGTACGTTATTTTGAGGCACCTCGGGGATATGTGTTTATTCACCTCGGCGCTGCGCTCCTTGGTGAATAAATCACATATCCCCTCGTTGCCTCAAAATAACCTATATATATATATAGCCGATTAAAACGCATCAACGGGAACCTTAATATTTGTTCGCTGTAATACTGTATTGTAGACATTGGAAATGGAATTAGGATTGTGTCTTTGAAAGAGATTGTCCATACAATAACCTCACAACATGCACTGCCAAGCATGCAAAGAGAATTGAGGCATATAGTACAGGGTTTTCAGTTTTGTGTGAGGCTCTGGCTAATGGCGATGAAGCTATGGCGATATATATTATTTCTACCGATAGAATGTACAAATTAGGGCGAGTACACATAATAGAGACGTGACTAAACGTAAAAGCCCTGGCGAATTTGGGTGGGGTTGAATGAAAAAGTCTGGCGAAATTCGCCGTTCGCCGGCCTAAACTGAAAACCCTGATAGTAAACGCGCCAGTTCTACATTTCAAACAGTTTGACCTGAACTAAGGTTGTTCATTTCATATAAGAATGAAACATTATGACTTACGTTCTAGTCGTTCCTAGTTCTGGAGTCGTGAGAACCGCTCTTGTTGTCTTCTTGGGAGTACTGACGAAATATGAAAGAAAAGCATAACTTTAATAACTGTTTTCCATGTGACATCAATAAGTCGGCGAATTCCATGATCTCATTGATTGTTAGTGATTACTCATTAAAACTAAAAGCCTTTGTGCATCTGAAATAATTTTCTCAGTCAATGATTATACCAACAATGAACTGGTGCCAGATCGGCGTCATATGTGAACCAGGCTTGGAGAGGTAGATAATAGATCCATAGTTGGCTGCATTTTAGGTATGAACACAAACAAAGAACAAGAATAGGAATATCTGTAGTTATCTGTGTCTGACGCCGAAGGCAGTATAAAGCCTTTAATGAATTTCACGACAACTTATACTCAAACTAAAAGAGAAAAAATTTTCTTCGATCGTCAGTGTTGGTAGTTGAGTAAGTAGAACTATTTTAAAACTCTCACGAGTATTAAAGGGTTCAAACCCCAAACTTAACAGTTTCCATGCCGGCATGGTCCATTTCTCACAAGGTATGGCGTGGTTAATTAACTATGACTTCATTGTTAATTAAAGAAGATTCGTTGATAGTGTCCGCTGCATGGTGCCTGGTCGGCGTCATATGTGAATCAGGCTGTGAGAGTCATATATTAATAGATCCATAGTTGGCTGCATTTTAGGTATGCTGCATTTTGAGATTGAACAAGCCCGTGTCACTGGCCTATAACAACGTCGAGAGATTGAAAATGAGTAGGAAAGTATTAAAAAATTGGAGTTGACCCTTGTCACATATTTTTCAATTTGAGGCTGCCTCCAATTCAGGCAAAAAAAGTTGTATCGACATATACTTATTATATGCTATTTTGAACGCATGCAGGGTTGGGCAAAATCAACGAGTAAAAACGTTGCAAAAGCATACTTAGATATACAAATAACAGCAAATCATTATGCGATTTATTATGCGAATAACTAATGATATAGTAATGCATGGTTACACGCATATGCCATATATAACAAACGCTTGCTGAGTGTTTACTCGAGCTAGAAGTAAAGATTAGTGTTTTTGTGAAGCTGTTAGAAGTGAAGAGTTTGTATTTGTAAAACATCGTCAATTCAGCGTATTCACATCGATATTTACTTCATATATACATTTTACATCTTACTCGTTTAAA